TCCACAGTGTCACCTCCCTACAAGACTGATCCCTGTGACCTACGGTGATCCCTGAGCCCATCCTCTGTCACTTATGTCTCACTCTGTGCCTGGCTTATGAGAAGGTCAATACCATTGTGTCACAAGGAGACCATGCAACTCCAGGAAGCTGTTACCTCTCAGGGTTCACCAACTTCTGGACAGAGGCAGACTAAATCACCAGGCTGAGGAGCGGCAAGGGGCCCAGGCAGAAGCTACCATGATGCTTTTTGGTCTTGCTCACCCTTGATGGCTCACATTTCAAGGTGATTAGAGTATTAATTTTAAAAAGAACTGGGTTACATTTAGAAGAACTTATCAATCTCTAAATTTAAAAGTAAATTTCAAGATCAATGCATTCTTGACAGTTGCTTCTAAAGCCAAGAGGGGCCTCTACAAAGCTAAATACTTCTTAATTCAAAGCACATTTTAATGATCTTTCTGTTTTCTTTTATACTTACAAAAGTATGATTCACATACAAACAAACATTTGGGAAATGTAACACAGTACAAGGAAATAAAAATAACCTAGGAGCCACTAAACCACAACTCTTGTCTGCTGCAAGGACTTCATGTTCAACTTCAGGGGAAAAAAAGCAGAGATGGAAGGAAGAGAGAAGAGAATGTTCCATTAGTCAGGCATAGAGGAGACTCTGTGGGTTTACATACAAACACTAGACACATATCCTTTCAAGGGACGGCTTGGCCCACATCAGCCAGGGACATAAGTTTGCTCCAGAGAACGAGGAATTTCTTCTTTGTAATCATTAGAGATGCATGAGATCAATTTTGAAAAAGTAACCCATCTACAAAATAAAGACTTTCAATATTTTGCTTCACTCAGAAAAAGTATAAAGCACATATGATAATTGAAAAAATAAAAATGAAAGCTATCAGGAAAAGCTTATTTCAGCTATAAGGAAAATAGAACTGAGTCAATATTCTTCCAAAACAAGGAGGCTGAAGGAATACAATAAGTGGGTGAGGGTCTGTATGAGCAGTTTTGTTGTCACTGGTTTTGTCAATATTCTACTGCATACCACTGAGAGTTAATGGCAGGGTAAGTGGGTTTGGGCATTATTCTTCTCAGGCCGCCTTGACCTTGTGAATCTAACATTTGAGAATAAAGCTTCAAGAGATAATTGCTATTGATCCATTGATTCTTGCACTAAATCTAATTTTAGGTTTACCACACCCAAAAGCATGGCAGCTCCCTGGAACAGGACTAATATGGCATAGACTCCATCTTCAGGAGCGCAGTTTACCAGAACCAGACAGAGGAGTCATTGCAACAAAGTTCTCACAAGCAGTCACCTCTCTGAGAACCAAGGAAGATGCAGGAGGAAGCCAGCAGGGCTCCACAGAACACATCTATTGCACTGCATCTTGGGGTGACTGTGTGCCCAGGGCAGGGGGGATCCACAAAGGTGTTGCTGAGGAGTGCAGAGTGGACCTGGCACACTGGGAGAGTCCAGCTAGTCCTGAGCACTAGGCACATGGGGTGGGCAGGGGTGGGAGATGCAGGACAAGACTGGACCAGTAGGCTGCAGCCCCACATGGGACCCCAGGAATGACAGGGACAGGGACCGTGGAATTTACACATGAAACAAAGGGAGCCCAGCAGAGGGTATGGAAGTTGTTCCCACCCAAGGAGAGGGGTGGATAGATGTGGTAAGAGACCAGGAAGGACAGCTGTAAGGAGGTTGCTTCATGGCCAGGAGTGGGAATGGGAGGGAAGACTGTGGGGAAGGACCTTGGAGCTTGGCCACTGTCACCCGTCTGGCTGGGTGGCACAGACCAGGGAAGGAGGGATGTCTGCAAACAGACATGAAGCAGGAATCCCCACGTGGTGTCTCTTCTCTGTGGAAGGAAGAACAGAACCCTACACGCACCTCACTCATGGAGCGGTTTTTGCTGTGCGGGGTCCCCAGGAGCTGCTGCCAACCTCCATACTTCCTAACTCCCCAGTTTCCTTGACCTTGGCAACAGAAGGGGACCCTGAGCTCTCTGTCCACACTCATGACTTGAGTCTCCAGGTCTCTGTGCAATTAGAGAGGGTAACATGGGAAGTGTGGCCATTTAGATTTGTCTTCAAAACTGTTACTGGCAAGATCCAAATCTGTTGATCTTTAAGTGGATCCTCTGTAACATCCTATGGAAGACAGCAAGCCAGTCAGGTCTCAGCTGCTTCCTTTCCAAAGCCCTGTCAGACTGTAGTATGCCACAGACAGTGGAACAGATCATGAAGACTTTCACAAGCATCGGTCACCATCCTACAATAGAACTTGAGCAGGCACTACGCTGCAAGCTGTCCTGGATGATCAAGATGCCCACAAGGGTCCAAGAGCAGCCATCACCACCCAGGGTGGGTACTGTCACAGAAGGCTGGCAGTCACTAGTTCTGCAGTACCTAGTTGTCCTCTTGTCTGCTCCCAGAGGGTATAACCTCTGGCTGCTTTTGTATACCCTCTGCCTTTGCCCTCCACCCCGATACACACACCTAAACCAGGCCTGCTCACAGCTGAATACACCAACAGGAAAAGCCACAAGAGGGGCTGTCAGAGCACTGGCCATCACCTGGTCACAAGAAACCATGGAGGGCTCCAGGATACTAATGAACAGGAACCAAGGGGCCATGAACATGGTAGCTCTGCAATGTCATCCTGGCTGGAGAGACAAAGAGAGAGGTGGGAGGTGCCTATACATGAGCTGCATTCATTCATTCATTCACTCAGCCATTCTTCCAATGTCTGTTTTCTGGGGGTCTGATGTCCAACAAAGGTGACCCTTGGGGACACACTCCTGAGCAAGAGAGACAGCTGCGAATCCCAGCAAGCAGCCCTGAGACCGCAGAGTGCTGTACTGGCATGTGCCTTTGTCATGGGAGGTTTCGAAAAGCAGAAACCCACAATTTAAAGAATGAAACAGATGACAGATGAAGGGCTGGTAGAGTAGAGCTGGGAGAGGCCCCCAGAGCACTGGCAAGTGGAGGAAGGAGCTGACCGAGGCATGTGCAGGAGGTCATGGGGAACAAGCCTGCTGTCCTAGGCCCCTGCATCTGACCCTCCTAAACATTACTAAGAAGTGGCTTGGTTGAACATATGAAACTTCCAATTTTCTAGGTAAAAAATGGACAAATATCAGCAATTTTACAAGGTTCAACCTATGACTTCTTGGCCAGCATGAGCTGGCCACTCGCCTGGGTTGGTTTTCCTCCTAAAGGACACAGTGTTATGGGAAGGGAAGAGAACTAGTGCAGCTGAGGAGGGTGGGGAGAAGGTGGGGTCAGTAATCCCCAAGGCCATGGGGGTGACGAGATGATGCTTGGGCATGATCCTTAGGAGAGCTGGTGGTCATAGGCAATGCCAGCCTGTGTTGAAAAATGCCCACTCAAGACCACCTGGAGGACTGAGCAAAGGGCAACACTGGAAGTGAGTCCAGCCACAGCCGCTGAGATGGTCACTCAGGAGCAGAGTGAAGTAGGCATGAAAGACAGGACTCGGACATGCAGGACAGGAGGGCTCCTGCCTCACAGCAGGATGGGAGCCATGCATCTGGCTGGCGTGCAGTGGGAGGAGCTGCATGGAGGGACAAAGATGAGCTCTGGTGGGACTGCCCACTCAGCTCTAATGATGGAGAAAGGCAATCAGAAGAGAGAGGAAGCAAAGGAAGCTAACTGGCGCTGACTGCTGACAGATCAGCCACCTTGTATGTGAGATTTTACTAAATCCTCTTCCTCCGGAGCTGTCGCAGAAGAGCCTGCCTGTGAGCAGCTCTCTGAGGTAGCAGTTCAGAAGTGCGGAGCTGCACCTTAAGCAGGCCTCTCTGCTGATATTCATGTTCCTAGAGCTAAAACTGCCCACTCAGTAGCCTATGTTACTTGTGATATGTATGATGCTTATGCCTAAAAAAAGGTGGTAGCTAGGATTAAGATCAAGAGAGACATGCCAGAAACCTGCCCCAGGACACCTGAGACAGCAGGAAGACTGGTCTCAGATCAGAGCCCTGGCTCACATGGATGTCCTTGGGCCCCACTCTGCTGACCCGTTTGGTCACAGCACTGCCCCAAGTCTGGGGCTGAGGGAGGTGAGGAATGATTAGTCAGTGGGGGGAAGGGACGAGGCTTCCAGCCCGACAGCACACCCTGCACTGTCAGAGTGAATACTGTGCTCTCCTGGACAAAGGGGTCTCAGCACAGCAGCCCCTCCCAACATCTCTCCCAGAAGCCTTTGCCCGCCTACAGCATTATCCTAGCAGACAGAGGCTTCAGGCAAAGTCCATCTAAAGACTTACTTAACAATTTCCAAAATAGTAGCAAAACATCCCCATAAAACCAAATGACTCCCAGGGAAGAAAGCACATACTACATTCTCGTACTTGTTTCCTTAATTGGGAACAGATCCCGGTGGCTGGGATTTATTTTCAGAAGTACACATCCACAAAAACCAAAAACATCTTGACAGGCTGCAGCATCCCTAATGGTTCTCAACTCTGAATTCCTAATTGAGTTTAAAAAAAAAAGGCAACCAAGAATTTTCACGCCGGTTTTGATTCAGAATTCAAAACAGAACCTATGATGTGCATTTCTATATTGTTCCAAACCATGTATAAACTGGTTCCCAATCCTTGAGACGCCTTCCAGACACTGAAAAGAAAGGCAAAACAGATGGAGGCATGGATTCTGAGTCATGTACCAAAGAAGGTTGTTTTCCTATTATGAGACATGCAAACTATCCTATGTTCTCCCCAAGACATTTTTAAACAGTTTAATCCATTTGCTATTTAAAAGAGGAGACCTAGACTGGGAGATGTTTGTACAGCACCTGTTCCTTCCCACAGGGGACTGGGAAAACTTTTCGATTTTTTCCTTGTTAATTTGTTGTAGAAATTGACTATCCCTTTTCATTGCTTAAACTAAATTCCAATATAAAAAAGCAGTCAGACATACCACGGAACTTGTGATGCAGAAAACATCTCCTTACCTGAGCAGTTTGTCCTCAAGCATTTCCATGTACTTCACAGTATTTCCCTTCACATTTGCTTCTGCAAAACAAAAATCCAGTGTGAATGTACTTGCAGTCATGACTGAACAACACCCAGAACTATCCAATTAAAAGCCAAGACCAAAGCACTATGGTCAAGCCATAATAATAACAGCACCCCACATAAGAAAACATTTAGACCCACTGGGGGCGGGGGGCACCACCTGAAATTCAACATTGGGAAGGATTCTGAAGCTCCAAGTCTTTCTGCAAGGACAGTTAGAGATGGGGGAGGGGTGTCATTGTGCTGCCCTGGGTTGATTCTTCCCTGGGTGATTTGCTGGTAGTCTATTACTGGTTCACAGGACTCAGTACACCCTTCTCAGTTGGTAGCTAAGGGCTATGTTGTAGAATATAGGACAGAGAACTGAAGAGTACAAAACTTCTGTGATTATTAATCTTTTGGGGGAGGGTGTTTAGAGGCAGGTTCTCACTATGTAGTTCAAGCTGACCTTGAACTCACCATGTAGCCCAGGCTGGTCTCAAACTCACAGTGATCCTCTTGCCTAAGTCTCCTGAGTGCTGAGATTATAGGCAGGCACCACCACACCCGGCTGTGACTGTTAATCTTGATGTCATCTTGATTGTGTTAAGAGACAATTGGATTGTGAAGGCACTAACTTCATGTATTACACTATCAGTGAGTTCATAGCTCAGTGGGCTTACTGGGAGGTAGGGCCTAACTGAATGGTGGGGTCACTGGGGGTATGGTTTTGAAGTGTGCCTCTTGTCCCTGGCCTCCACTTCTCTGGCTCGTTCTCTGTCACTCTGCTTCCTGGTTACCATAAAGTGAGCAGATTTCCTCCTGCACATCCTTCCACCATAATGCTTCTGCTCTGGAATCAACCAACCATGAACTGCAACCTCTGAAACCATGAGCCACAATAAGCTTTTCTTCCTTTAAGTTGTATGTGTCAGGAATTTTAGCAATGGAAGGCCAACTAATACAACTTTCACTCTACAAATGAACCAAGGATCTTCACTAATGGTAGCAGAAGACTGTAGACCCATTCACTAAGAAGCAAACAGGAATGCATGATCCTCCAATGAGCAGGAATTTGCTGCTCACCTCCAATGCCTGAGAGATCAGCACCACTCAAGTAAACTCAGTGCATCCTAACCACCACAAACACGTTGAGGGCATCAATTATTGCTATGGTTCAGAGGTCCAAAGAGGCACTTTGCTAATAAGAAAGAGCCTGGCCTCCTCTACAATTCTGATGCCCTCTGTTTCCTCCTCTGAGGACTGAATTACAGTTGTAACCAAATGAGATGTGTAACCATATTCAGTGTGCTCACAATGTGCCACTGAGGGTTTCCTTCAAGTGGTGGCCATGTTACTGATGGTGCTGCCACTTCTCTTACTAGTATTACCGCTATGGTGGGGTTTTATCTTTTTTATTGTTTATTTTATTCCAACCTTGAATTTATTCCCAAAGTCAGTACATGCCTAAGAGCCCACCAGTGCTCTAAACTTGGGGAATGACCAAGAACCAAAGCCACCCTATGCAGATTTGAGCTGCTGGAATCTGCTTTAGGGACTCAGGATCCATACTGGGTACTACATATGTGCTAGGATGAGGGACAGGCATGCAAGTTTGGAGCTGGAAACATCCTGAAATTCTCCATAACAAAACTAAAATATTTGATAGAAACTAAAACAATTAATTTTGGTTCATTATATCAACAAAGATAAAGAGAAATTTGTACAACAAGAGCAACTGTTCAGGTTGATCTCTTATCTGATTGATTTATGCTACCCTAACCTACAAACTTAGTTGTGCTAAGTGCAGTGGTACCTTGGTTCACAAACTTAATTCTTTCCACAATTCAGGTTGCAAACTGAATTGGACAAGAACCAAATCAGATTTCCTTATAAGGCCAACATTGAACCTAAGCACCGAATTTGATTCAGTTCTCATCCAATTCGCTTTGCAACCAGAACCGTGGAAAGAATTAAATTTGTGAACTGAGGTACCACTTTTACCTTTCCAAATAAACTAAGGAAATGCAAGTATCCCTCAGGATCTATGAGAGAATGGTCCTAGGACCCTCCAGAGATACAACACATCCTCTTGTATACTTTAAATCATTTCTAGACTACTTATAAAGTCTAATACAATATGAATGTCATGTAAATAGTTGCTATATTGTATTGTTCCAGGTAATAATGACAAGGAAATTGGTTTGCAAATGTTTAGAACAGATGTAATTTTTGTTTTGAAATATTCCATCTAAGGTTGATTGAATCTGTTTGTGCAGATTCTATAGATATGGCAGGCCAATTGTCTTGTATTTTACCCTCTACTATGTGCCAAATGTTGTGTGAACATGGGAATTTGGCTACTGTCATACATCTTACAAAGTGCAGCTTGCTCACTGGTTAATTGGGAGCAAGTGAAGCCAGTTCCAAATGTCCCCACCAGAACTGTTCTTGAAGTGTCCCATCCTATCCACATGTGATATGCTGCATATTATTCTCATATTTCAGGTGAGTCCACCAGCAGAACCAAACAGACCCCTCCTTCAGTAGTGCTTACATCCTAGCAGGGGGCATTGGTAGAGAACAAACATGACCATTCCATAGTCAGTGGCATGCAAATTTAAAGAAAGGTCAAATGGGGTGTATAGAGTCACCAGAGCAAGTATCACTGGGAAGGAGGCATTTGAGTAAAAGCTTGCCCAGTGCTGGGGAGAAAGCCCACTTGCATTCTTTGAAGAACAGAGCAAATGGGAGGACCAACCAGGCTAAGGGCCTAAGAAGCAGGGGTACACTGGAGTGCTCCAGTGATGTGTGGCTGGAACATAGTTCTCCACAGGGTGAAGAGAGGAGAGCAAAGAAAGACTAAGGTACCATCATGTGCCACTGAGGCAGACTGCACTCTCAAAACATGCCACAGCAATATTCTAGTCCTATATCAGACTTGGCCCAGGGGGGGCCTTTCCATTCACTATTAAAGCTGTGAAGCCCATTTCCCTCCCCTTCAACCTGGACAGGCTGTGAGACTCCAACCCACTGAGTGTGATGGAAAAGATTTCGTGTCATTTATGAGGTGGCTAGAATCCAGCTCTTCCTAGTGCTTTAGCCTAGGAACACGGCCACCACATGGTGAGGAAGCCACACTCATGGAGGGGCTTCCAGACACAGGCGTGGACAGGCTGTGAGATGGGCTGTCCCTTCGGTGCGAAGGACCCAGACATCACAGAATCGTGATGAGCCAGCTCTTCTGTACCTGCCCAAATTCCAGACCCACCAAATTTATGCACATAATAAATGGTCATGCTAAGTTGGCAAGTCTGAGATATTCTGTCACACAGCTGCAGTGACTGGAAAGTTAGAGCCAAAGTTCTGCAAGTTCTAGGAAGCATGGCAGTTCTGCAAGTGAAACAGGAAGCATGGCAGAATGAACTGGATTGACTCACAGCTGTGATGTGGAGAACTGATGGTGGGAGGGTGGCCTGGGAGCAGGAGACATGGGGATCAGTGCATCTGAGGAGAGGAGGGGGTGTGGGGCTATGGGGAGCAAGAGCTGGTCCTCACCACCACAGGCCACAGCTGGCGCCTTACAGCAAAAGGCAAGTTAATGAGAGAAGGACATAACAGGACTATTTAACCAAAGTTTTCCATGATACCAGAATGGAATGAAGACCCAAAGACCCTGGGGAAATTTTCTATGCCTAGAATTGATAGCAAATGGACAGTGTGGAGAGAAATGACTGCACAGGAGGGGTGTGATCCAAAGGTGAGAAGGTAGGGGGACTGTGTAAGGCCTGTGTGCTCAAATTCCTTGTAGACCCCTGTACTGCATTCTGTTCCTCTGGGTGTAGGCAAGACACCTGTCACGTTAGGGTTTCTGACCTATTTTCTGAGGTGCAGGTGAGAAAGTTCCTTTATGGCTAGTTTTCCCTCCAAAAGAAAAGGTAAGTCAGGGAGACTGTTGTGCTTCTGTATTTCCAAGGAATCCACAGTGTTACACTGTGGGATGGGGTGGTATGACAGAGACTTAGCCACGGTGTCAGCAGGCAGTGATAGCAGGCAGATTTTAGCTACTTTTAAGGTAGAGATGACAGGGTTTCCTGGTGGGCTGAAGGTCAGGTATGAGAAAAAAGAGAAGTCATGAATGACCACAGGATTTTGTCCAGGGAAAAAGTTGCCATCAAGTGAACTGGGAAGAGCTATAAGCAAAATCAGCTAGGAGAGGCAAAGCAAGAGGTCATATCTGGGTTTATTAACTTTGAGAAGTTTGTTAGAAAACCAGTGAGATGTGCATTGTGAAACTGGGTATCTGAATATGAAATCTGAGAAGGTTCCAGAGTGGAGACTATTTGGGAGACATTGCCATTTGAAGCAATAAGACTGGACAAAGTGACTTAGAAGGGAGAGTAGTGACCACTGGCCAGGGTGGGTGGCTACATTTTCATTGTGACAGCATCTTATCTCAAGGGACAGACAGATAGCGCCTCCTAGCAGGAAAAAGGAACAGAAGAAACAGGGCAGGTTTATTTTAGAACAAATCTGAGAGGGACTGCTCTGGCACTAGAGACCAGACCAGCGGCTCTCATTCAGGCTGTGGGGTCTTTTGTAGGGTCACGCGGAAGGGGGAGTTCAGTGAGAGAGGGCTGTGGCTCCCTGCCAAGCACAAGGCTTGAGAGAGCATAAGCAGTAATGGTTGCCCAAGGATGAGGCTTGGAAAGCACTGGGAATAGAGGCTCTTATCAGTAGCAGGGCTCGGGCTGAGAATATAGCTTAATGGCACAAGAGCAAGGTCCTAAGTACGATTCCCAGTACCAAAAAAACCCGGCAGTGCTGGTCATGTGATAAGTCCCCAGGTGCAGCTGTGCCAGGAGGGGCAGTTTAGAGGGGTCTCTGATCAGGATGGCAGTGGATGGCAGTGGATTCCTTCACCTCCAGTGAGTAAAAATCCATCATTATATAGTTAGAAATAATCCAGATACTTTCCAAACTAATGCTTTTGTTAAGGAATTGAATGCTAAATGCTT